GTTTAGCTAAGTGTGAGGAAGATAAAAGGTTAAATTAAAATAAATGAAAACACTTGGTTGAGACAATAGAAAGTGTAATACTTTATTGGTTCGTTAGGGAAAAGACTTGCTGCATAAAAAGCCTGCTTAATATTTGTGTATACGTTAATGATGGTCAATCACGGACGACGCAAGTGGCTTACTTATTGTTTATTGGATAATAAAGATATAATAATTGTCTCATCGAACACGTGGTGGTAAAAGTGTAGAGCGTCCTCGTACACTTCGTTACTTATCTAGTGGGGAATATCCTGATAATATGCACTCTCGCGCGATTATACAGGTGTGGGACGAGCGCCTCCATGCCAAATACTTGCCACCGGAAAAGAGAGCAAACATTACATCCACGAGATTTTAATATATTACACGCAAGAAGTATCATCGCGGATTCTTAAAAAAGATTCCTTTAAAATTCCAATGATTTTAAGTAAGGATTTCAATGTGAATTTAGCATCGGATACAGTGCTCCCTTTGATTGAGTTCCTAAACACCAAATTAAAATTAAAAACGTGCAGCAGTCAAACTGAATCAAAACCATAATCGGAATAAGTAATTGACGCAGTATTTCAAAGATATATTAATCAAATCCAAACCAAAGCATTTATTTTATATTTTAGTTACCATAAGCCACTCGTGTCATTTGTTGAAATTGAAAACTTGGAGTCTGTAGAATGTGTGTAATGTAGTATATGTAGAATAAACTGTAAATATTCGTCTTATTCTCTGAAAGTTTAGTTTTCTAAAGATTTCCACCTCGTGTGGACTGCGCGCATGTATTTTTTTAAATACTTTTATTTATAAGTCTGAATGATTCTTGTAAAAAATTTACTTGACTATATGATCAAATAGTTAAACAATTGCTTTTATTTCACAGATTTGTTAGTGTACATACCCGATTCAAGTGTGACAGTACAAGAAAATAATTGTACGGTACCTCCCCAGCCAGCAAATGGTCTTCGGCAATTATATAAGTGGCAATGCCAATCACAACAAAGCAATTGTGACGTACAAGAGGGTACAAAATTACCACTTGGGGCTYATTTAATTTATACCTGTAATTCTGGATATCGGCTAAACAGATTCGATCATGTATTTTGTAATAATAAAGGAAATTGGACAGATATTCCAGTTTGTACAGGTAAGATTACAAACTTTTGTTATAGCGACAATTCTTTATTAATCTATCATTTTCTTAATGATTCTTATATTATTTTARAAATACGTTGCCAATCATTGGCTTCAGCATCCACTAACACTCAATGTACTTTTAACGGTCAGTGGGTATCTTGTGAATCTCCTGTTTTGCCTGGAACCATAGCAGAACTGAGTTGTTCCGACAATTATCAGGAAGTTGGAAAAGTTCAATCRAAACAAAAAAATCAAGTTACATGTAACAGTACAGGTCATTGGGAACCCCAACCAATACGATGTTCTCCAAGTACGACGGTTATTATTGTTTATGTTAGGGATGACAGAATCATTATTTTTATTTGCTTGCTAAAAATAATCATCTTTCTTTATTAACATAATTATAATACGTACAGATACTCGTAATTTGAAATATCCTAATATCAATGTTAGGGGATTTAACATATTTAAAGCTTTGATACAACTTGAAGAACCAAGACGTCTATGGGCTTATTCTTTTATATTGTCATAGTATATTAAAGAAAACTGTTTTATAGACACATAATTAGAATTTAGCATGCTAGAAAATATATATTTAATTTAATTTAAGATAGTAAACATACAAATATTGCCTATAATTATAATCACAAAGGCTCTAGTACAATGTGAAGCAGATTTCAATGAAGTAGTGTAAACGATTATTTATTTATGCTATATTTAATACAACGTTAATATGGTTTAAATTATTTTATTTATAAAATGAAAAATTATCAAATTAACTAATAGTAACAAAAAATTACAATATTTTCATGAATCATATATGAGACACATTTTTTTTATTGATTATATTTTTACACGATCAACACTATCAATTAATGTATTTTTTAACTATTTAAGTTCATTATTCATAGCTTCATGCTTTAAAAAGTGGAACAGCTTACTAACGCTAGTTTCTCATATCATTTATACAGAAATTAAAATTAAAATCTTCTTAATTAAAAAATTTGATAATATTTGAGCTTATTAATTGTGTGTACAATTGTTTACAATTTTTTTTTTTGGTTTACAATTGTGAGTCATCTTTTGTTAAATATAATACTTTGTAATATATACTAGAATATTATTGAAAAGTGATGGCTTCTCTATATAATAATTGAATAATTCTATGTAATAATAAAATGAATTTCTAAATATAATAGTTTAATAACATTAATTACAATTATATATTTTAATGTTTCATTTCCTTACATGTTTTAGAATGCGGGGTTGTTCTTCCAATAAAAATACCCTTTATTATCAACGGAACAGTAAACGGCTATTTATCTACACTCTCTCAAATTCCATGGCACGCTACTTTATACGAAGAAAACACTCCAAACGGATTGAAACATTTTGTTTGCGGAGCAACAATAATAAAAGAAAAATTTCTTCTTACCGCAGCGCATTGCATCTACGACGAAACGTATCGAAGGATAGAGAACCCAAATAAATATTATATAGCAACTGGAAATATTTATCGTGACTATGATTCTTCATTGCACGATAGGCAATACGTTMAAAAGGCCAGAGTATGAAAAATACTTAAGAACAAAATTTTCGTTCAAATGAAATCAAATACTTAACAAAAAAATATCGTGTACGCTCGTTATACTGTAATCATAATAAAGTTAATATTTTTCTTTTTTTTAAGGTGAAAGGCATTTATGTTCCTTGTAATTATAAAGGCTTCGAAGGAAATTATGCTAATGATATAGCTATCTTGGAAATCGAAAGACCATTTGAATTTTCACGTTTCTTATTACCGCCGTGTTTAAATGGTGATTTCATTGAGTCTGGATTAGGGGTAGCTTCAGGATTCGGAAGAACCCATGTAGGAGCGTCCAGTTTTGTTCTGCAATCTGTATCGTTGCCCTACGTTTCTCTTAATCAATGTATATCTTCTAAAAATTATATTGAATCTGAAAATCTTATAACGATGGATAAATTTTGTGCTAGCTATACGAATGGTTGGTAACGAATCAAGATCAATATGCGAAAATGAAAATATTTTTAATATTATACCCACCATTTATTATCTGCATTTCAGGAACATCTGTTTGCGATGGTGACAGCGGAGGAGGATTGGTGTTTAGAACTGGAAATGTATGGTTTTTAAGAGGAATAGTTAGTCTCTCTCTTGGTAAAACATTAACGGGTGGTACAACAATTTGTGATAGTAATTCGTATTCTCTTCACACGCGTATATCAATTCATATAAACTGGATCGAAGATATTATTTCTCGATTAGAATCATCTGAACCACTTTCTTCATGTCGTAACTCAACTATAGCAAATGCGACTACTACTAGTCCTGATGAATTATTTCCAACTTCTACAAGCTCTATAACATCTTCCCCATCGATTCGAAATACAACTGTTTGTATGGCGCCTCCCGATCCTACGAACGGTTATCGTCTATTGCAYAAATCGTATTGCCAAACACAAGAAAACTGTTCTGTGAAGGAAGGTTTAGAATTAGTTAGCGGTTCTCATTTRATTTACACCTGTAATCAGGGATACGAATTAAGCGGTACCAGTGATGTATTATGTAGTCCAGAAGGAGAATGGATAAAAATTCCTGTTTGTATTGGTAAGATGTGCATTTTAAGTTTTAWTATTACAATGAGTATTTCAATAATGCTATTTCTATATTATCTTTTCTGTAATTCTTTGAATTATTTTTTTTCAGCGAAAGTTTAATTACTTCTGGCTTCCTAAATGAGATTTGCTGATTGGAAATTTAACGACGACTGCACTTCTTAATATAAAATAAGTACAACATTATTTGTGATAGCAAATTTTGATAATAAATAAATTGACTTGAAGTCAATTCTTATTTTTAAACGAGTTTCTTTAAATTTCTAMAATAAAATTAAATTTTATAACATCCTCCCTTGTTTTTTCATTTTATGTTTTTAAAATTTATTATTATGTTAGAGGGAAATTCTTAGTGGACTTTTTAGGATCTTTTTTAACAACTTCTTATAGGTCCAAGCTTTTTTTATAGTTGATAACGTTACAATGGTTCTTTCCAGTTTTTTTGTRGCTCGAATATTTCATTAGATTTACAAAATAATTAGGATGAAAAAAATGCTAAAATCAAAACGTTGTAATCTCAAACTCTATTTATTAGGTATATTATTACTGTTGCACACATTCGAAACGTTGGRAAAGTCATATATACAACATTTTAGAAAAAAACTTTCTCAGAGGACATTTCTCGCGTCATTTCTTACGTACAATAAAATGAACGAAAAGAAAAAAAAACTGGTGTGTGTGCTTATGTACGCACGTAAGAAGTTATACTTTTTTTGCGTACCAAAACGAATATAATCTCACAATAACCACAAAAATAACTTAAAAAAAATGACTTTAATAAAATGCGTTAACATCAAAAATAACTCCAACTATCTCTCTCGTGTTGCCAATATAATACTTACTCAAAATTTGTCAATAAGACGATAAAATGATAAAATAAAATAAAGATATTTAAAATACAATTGAAAAAGGTTTATATATATTTCTTCTTTATATATATAAATCTCGTGTCACATTGGATGTCCACGATGAACTCCTAAACTACCAAACCGATTTTAATCAAATTTTGCACACTGTATGCAGCTTGATCCAACTTGAGATTTAAAGGCAACTATATGTTGCCTGCTGACGTGTTAACCATCGATTCTATTTGTGTTAGCTAGAGACAGGTTAACCAAGAATATTGTGCACCAATTAGTGCTGAATTAAATTAAAATTAACAAAATCCCTAACCCGACAGCTTTTCATTACTTACTTTATTTATAAAATTAAATRTTACATGTTATCAACTAACAACTTTGTAACTTACTTATTTGTTACAAACTTGAATGTAAGAATAATAAAATCTAAAATTCAACATTTTTATACCGGCTATAACATTATCGTATTTATTCGAAAATAATAATTTCATTGTATTGAATAGTTTACTATAATATGAATTAACGTATTACTTAGCCACAGCAACGCGTGGCTGGGTCTGCTATTATATATATATAAATAATAAGTATAATTTAATTTATTTATTTATTCGTGAGGAAGAAGAAGGGTTTAATTAAAATAAGAAATATCGCCTTGTTCGTTGGTGGCTTTGTAAATTCTTCGCTGATTGTCTGAAACGTGTCGTCGTAGGAGTCCAGTGAAAGAATAGGACGAGTGTCTTTATTGATGAACCCAGCATGGCGTGCTTAGCAACGGTTTGAAGAATGGGGAAGCGCGATAACAATATTTCGATATTCTCAATATATTCTCACAAAGAAAGAATATTCTCACTTGGATATTCTCAAAAGGATTGAGCAGCGTATTTCAAAAATATACGCTAAGAATCTATAATCTTTACAAATGGTATATAAATCGTTATCACATTGAATGCCACACGAATTCGGAAGAAAATCCTCGTCAGGCCATGCTCGTTATTTTTAGTATTATATATATGTAAATTAAATGTAAAATGAATGTAAATAACTTAAAAAAAAAACTTCAAATAACTTCAAACTAAAGACCAAAAAAATAAAATAAATAATAATTAGCAATATTATTAGTCTTTGATGTGACATTTAAATTATTTAAATTTATACCGGTAATCACAGGCTAAACCGATTGTTCGCAAAGTAAATTAAAAGTTGATGGAATACATAAAATTTCATTCGCAGACAATTCATATCCTTGTACAATGAATTTTCTTCGCAGCCTATATAACCTACAACGTCCCACATTAGTTTGTGTTTTTTTTTCCTTATTTTTTTTATTCTTCTTCCTACGAAGACGATATTCTTTACATTTCTCTGTATTAGTTTTAGGCAGCTCGAAAACTTAAACAGAAATTTAAATGTATACTGATTCTGGTCGAAAATATCAAAATATAGATATCAATCCACACTAAATATAAGAGAGTTATATCAAATTTCTTCATGCGTCAACGGGCATGACGCGGTGACAGCACTAGTTCCTGCTCGATCATTTAAGTCAAGCAGCACTTGAGTACGAATAGAACTTGGATGGGTGACCGCTTGAGAAAAAAAAAGAGAGGAAGAAGAGATGAGAGAAGACCTTTATGCCGTAAATTTGAAATCGCTTTGCCCGCCCATCGTAAATAACGACAACTTCGTGGTGTTGATTTTCCGGTCACATCGAAATTTTCACTTTCATCACTTTTTCCTAAACGCACCAAAAGAAGTATAACTTCAAAAATATTGAATAATCGGAAAAAAACGTTATATACTTTTTACAGGTTTGCATACTTGCGTTTACGACGAGAGCACCCGTACCAAACGGTGGGAGGACGAAATACTAACTGTGAAGTATGAGGATGGCAAATTATGAAAATCTTATTACGATTGCGGTTGTGGTAATATCTGGATGTTAACCTGCACCGTACCTTTTTTTAGATTCGTTAACGACATACACTTCTTTAAGTACGTATCTAATATCTATATTAATTGAATGAAAGAATGAATGAATTTGCTTCAATACAAAGGTTTTTATAGTAAGAAGATGATTGACATCCCTTCTCTAAGTTTTGCTGTCCAGTAGCAGTAGAAACTATTCGACGACTATCATATACAACAATCTTCCATACTTTCACGGATCACCCTGGTTAATTTCCACATTACCTGAATAATCTAAAGAATAATTCATTTCTGCACTTTCATGATAACATATATATATATATCTGTATATATATATATTTATATGAATATGAGGGTTGAGTACGCACTGTCTCCGGCACGCCTTGAAATTTTCCAAAACGTATTTCCTTATTAAAAAATAAACAACTTCTTTCAAAAATAATTTAATGTATTTTCAATAATCATTTAAGAAAAAATACAATTTATATAATAGATTTTATATCGTTTTTATTCAGAAATAATATATTTATGTAATAGAATAATAAAACAAGCAWAAATTATTCCATAGATAATTAGCTCGTTGATTAAAATCATTTGTCGATTATCAAAGAAAACAAATTTATATCAATAATCTAATAAAAATCTATCAATGAWTCTATACAATATTTAATTAATTAAATATCATTATATAATTAGAGTTCATTTTCTTTATTAAGAATAAATATTTGTAATAAATAAAACATCTTTCGTATTATTTATAAGAACGAATTCAATAATAAAAATCATTTGTACATATATGAAGAAAAACAATTCAAGAGATTAACAATAATTTAAGTTTTAATGACGAGTCTACATATACCACTTGAGTCTCTACGTTCATCATCATTTGGACATTTTCTATCGGATATATGAATCACATTAAAATTCTCAACTTTCAGTTTCTCCGTAGATGTTGAGATTTCTGTTGTTGTTGTTGTTTCGGGTCTAATAATCCGAGATAATGCAGGATGAAGAAGATTCATGAAGAAGAGGAAAGAAATTAGGATGGTTGCAATCAGTCTC